CAGGAAAAGAATATTTCGTTGTCAAAATTCTATGAAGTACAAATTATTGGCCTAACAATTAGTATGAGACATAGTCGAAATACAACTTACCCATAGGGTATTATTTGGAAACATGGTCATATAAACGAACATTGTATTAGCGAAATACTGACTTTCAACAAGGTAGTTAAAAGTGTTCTTAAAACTTGCTCTAATATATCGAATTGGTTTGGAAATAATTGGTTCTGTATTTGGGCTGATCTGAAACACCATATGCAAATAATAATGAAATGTTACTTAAAAATTAGGTAGGTGAATTTGAAGTCATTCCGATTATCAAATAGTTGTAAGTTGCCAGTAAAGTCGATTCTAAGTTAAACATCTACATATAAAACACTTTGTTCTGTCAGACTCTAAGATTTTTTTATTTCAAGGCCAGTGGAATTTTTCGAAATATAAGACGTATTTCATACCAATTTTTAGGCCTTTGTTTTTATATTAAATTTGACTACGGAATGTTCCGTCTAACTGATCAATTCATAAGGCTCACGGTGGGTGTGACCCAAAAAGGAATAATTACTTCTCCTAGGCACCTGGTCCCACCTCTGAAATTTCCGGGGGTCCATGATTTATGCCCTATTTACAAATTTATATTGTTTGTTGATTTTTTGAGATCGATTACTGAAAGACAAGCCCTGAAAGGTAAGGAGGATCTGTCCAAACTTGATACACCATTGAAATGAAACATAGGAGATTTTACACTTGAAGAAATTAAATCAGAAACTTACCAGTAAAATTAATTCTGGATAAATATAAATAGCAATTTATTGTTCAAAAGAGCAGCTAAATTCTACGTTATTGAAGCACTGAATGATTAGTGCTACAAATAACTGTCGTAAATCATAAGCATGTACTTCTTTAGATTTTTTATTTGAATCTTTTTGCCACATGGCGTTTTATATATTTTTTCTTATAAATGTTTCAATGTCATGACATTATTTCACCACTATGGAGCGTTGTTTTTACACAGTAAATGCAAGGAGTTGGTGGGGGAAATCTCTTTTGAAATGTAAATATTTTCATAAAATCCCATATACTAGTAATCACTAATATTTCTCTTTGATTACTCAGAAAAGAAAAAAAAATGCTTTTCTCCGCCAAACCCAAAATAAAGCACATTCATGTACTTATGTCAGTTACGTATAATACTAGGTCTGTGATGGAATTGTTTAGTACTTGCATTTAAAATTGTGATATGACGTGAGGTAGGCAGGACTTGAATTGAAATTTCACCATCTATTGATTTGTTGACTGGATTTGCCCTGTTCTTTTATCAATAAGGGATCTACACCCGGGTTCGAGCTGTTTCTCAGTCCTGTTATTCGGGTATGATTGCTTATCATTGCTTTAAACAAATCAGGAAACCCTTTATTACATGAAATATAGAAATATGATGATAACAAATAGTTATCAAGCTCAAAGGTCTATTGAAACAATACAAACAGGGAGCAGAGCAAGCACAAACCTCCAAAACCTCAGAGTTGGGATCAGGTTCATGGAGGAGTAAGCATCCCCGAGTTGAGTGCAAGTGTTTTCCTCTTCTCATGAAGTTGTTGAATAAATTCTGCTTTATATGAATATAAAGATAGGTCTGCTAATAAAGGGGAACAATTGGTACCCATGGGAATTCCGACAGATTGTTGGAAGATTTGATATCGAAAAACTACATAGATATTGTCAATCACAAACTCGAGAATAGTTTTAATATCAAATTCGGAGTACTTATGTGAACAATGTAAAATGTTTTTCAACAAAATAATTTCATGTATATATTATAGACATATTTGTTATTGAACAATGGAGGAAATATCAGAAAAGGAAGGGAAAGAAAATAAGGAAAAGTTTTAAGTACAATTCATTCATCTGCAAAACAGAGAAAGAGTACAAGGAGAATAAGGTTTAAAAAAAAGACTAGTTATATTTCCTACTGTTTTTTTTATTAATATATACAATTGTTAACAGGTATGAGCAAGTAAAGTGATATCGCAAAATTAAAGTTATATTTGTCACTCTCCATAATACTGACCAGGTTTTTATGTTTTTTAATGAAGTGTTGTCCTTTATTTCTTGCTTTAAGTTCTCTAGTCAAAAATTAATTAAACTGTTGTCCTGAAACTCTCGGCTTATTGTCTTGCAGTTTAATTTCCAAATATATTAATAAAATTCATTGCACACATCTAGATTTCTCACAGCTTTTCAACAGACGAAAATTTCAATTTTTGTAGAGATGAAGGGGTTGATGGTTTATATCATTTTTGATTCTTTTTTTTTTGCGGGGAAAATTTGTTTTCATTTTCTTATTTGCTGCTGAAATTAATCAGAACCATATCCAAATAGTTTCCTTGATCTGTGAACTACTTATTTGACAATGGTAGGTTGAATGAATAATTAACCTATGATTATTAAATAACAGACGTAATGAAAAGTCATGTGTGTAAATCGGTATTTCAAATAAGACTGATGCCACCTTATCTCACATGGCTGTGAATAAACATTTTAGCTTTCACAAATTGTGAAATAAGGAAGAGTATTTGTACAATTGATCTTCACATTTCTTGCGATTTTACATTATAGAGATGACGTAGTCACTGGTTTTAATCTTTTTCCTTAAAGAGACTTGATATAAAAAGTTTTTCCTCCAACCTGTTAATATTTTGTAACTTTGTTGTATTCATCAATATGTATAAAACTATCCAGCAAATGACTAAAATTTGCAATTGTATTTACTTAAAGAACGTTTACAAGTAAGATAAAACTTTTGAGTTTTGACGGACATTCTATCCTTTATAATAGAAAATATTTCGAAAATAAAAGGTATGTTTACGATTCCTCAAGACCTTGCCAGGTCTCATTTTCTAGTCTTTACGATTAGCTAAAGTCAGTTTGATCCACCTTCTTTTTTTAACTCAAAAATGTCATTCTAGTTGCCTGTTACCCGCTCTCTCAGAAACAGTCTCTCCTTTCCTCCTTTTAAGAGTTTTTACCAAAAACAATTCGAACAGATATTTCGGGTTGCCTTTAATAGCTTTTTAGATAAACACACCCACACCCTCTCACTCACAGACAAATATTATATATATATAAAATTCATATTTTCTTGAAAAGTGGTATCAAAAGAAGGAACAATTAAGTACTTGTGGGAAGTTAGACACTTACTGCACAATCAAACAAAACTTTGGGCTAGAACCTTATTTATTAATCTTAAGAAAATTTGAGAAAAGGAAGATTTTAACAAAATTTCGAATCTCTGCTCACAATCTGATGATTGAAAAAGGTCGACATAATGGTATACCAAGAGAAGAGAGAATATGCCCCAATTGTAACTTAAAAGAGGTAGAAGATGAAATACATTTTCTTTTGGGTTGTCCATACCATAGAGTCTATCAAGAATTAATTTACTCTCCATAATATCTCTGAGATCTCATCTTTTTAATAGTATGTCTAAAAGTAACCAATTTTTATGGTTAATGAACTGTGAAGATGTTGATGTGCTGTGCAAATTTGTGTGAATTTATAAGTCATGCGTAGTCAGACAAATTCAAAGTCACATGTTGATCTTGACTTTACTTACATGTACTTTGATTTAATACTTATACTACAGTATGTTATGTTGTTAATATGCGTATGTTGTTGTATACTCTGCATTGAGCAGAAGTGGATTAATTAAAATAATAATACTATCCTTCAGCACTGACTCTTGCTGTCCATTGCAGTTTAATATAATTTACACATGCCATTCAACATACAATTTTTTTTAAATTTTTTTATATTATTATTATAATTATTATTATTATTGCTATTATAATTATTATAATAATTATTATTATTATTAATACTATTTTCCATAGATTATGTATCTGTTTATTCAACATGAGGCAGAAGTGGATTTCTGTGTATCTTTTAGCACCGACTCTTGTTGCCTCTTGTTGATGTATCAGACATTTTTTATGTGTTCAGTTATATGTATAATATTAGTAATAGTAATGCACATGATTGCACATTAAGTTGTATCAATTAAGAGTACAGATACATCTTAAATCAAGACAACCTATGTCTACATATGACATTCAAAACACCACCAATGTACATGTACTAAATGGAAGAATTGCTCTTCATTATATGTTGTATTCTGTCTGTTATCCTATCTGTAATTATACATGTATGTTATATGTTTAGGCCCATTGGGCCCTGATTTGGTAATAAATCCTATTCTATTATATATATATATATATATATATATATATATATATATATATAGATATAGATATATATAGATATAGATATAGATATATATAGATATAGATATAGATATAGATAGATATAGATATAGATATAGATATATATATATATATATATATATTTATATGTGGGTGGGTGGGTGAGTTTCTTCATAGGAATCATTCTTATAATTTCTTCTTAGTCTCTAGTAAATCAAGACGCTAGAGGCGACATGACATTTCTGTGTGATCGTCGAAGATAATGACCATTAAGAGAGAGAGAGAAAGAGAGAGATAGAGAGATAACAAGACTGCTATGTACATTTGTCCTAAACAAATGTTTACACATTTTAATTATTAGATAATTTTATTTAATTCAAAGATACATGCCACAAACTAGCAGTGCATTTCAAAACAGTTTGATACAAAACACTGTGACACACAAAAGAAATTATAAAACATGATGGTTTTCTATACCATAAGTAAATTCTTTTACGTTTATTTTCTAGGTTTGTTTTTATATTAGAATTTATTTTTCGACAGAATTGTTTTTCTTCTTACAACGTTCATTTAATCTTATGAACATTTTGTACGTTTACAAAATTATAGTCTCGTGAGATTCGTTCATGTTACTTTAAAAAAAACCCTGGAATATTTCAGGTAAGTATAAACATTTTCAATTCAAACACATTAAATTATATCCAAATACGAAATCCCAACAATTTCTTTAACAAGAACAGAAAATGGCAGTGATGCAATATATTCTTTTATTATTAATATACTTTGGTTCTCTGTGTTACTCTTCTTCCGCTCGGGATCGAACTTCCTTTATTCATCAAAGATATAAACCCTGCGTCATCATTTAGCGCTGTAGCAGTCTGAAGAATGCCGCGCATGGCTGGATTTATTGGACTTGGGCCCCACGGAATTTGACCTCGACGTCTCCGGCCGCCTAATCGCAAAAGCTGTCGTGCAAATGGTGTTATGTCAAACCCAAGACGATTTCCTTGCAAAATAATATTGCATGGGAGCGGGGAATTCCTGGTAAAAGAAAAAGATGAGAATGACCCTCTCTAGAGAAGACGATGTTACATAGCTCTTCAATTTGATATACTGGCAATTGACAAAATACCGCTCCTGTGGAGTTTATGATACCAATACCAGGAGTATCTATTTAGACCATCTACTGGTTTGTAATAGTCTTATAATAGTGGAAGGACAATTGTACCTTGATTTGAAATACCGTATAAGTAGAAATTTTAGCGAGAATTCAATTTTGGCATTTTAGCGAGGATGTTGAGATCGCTAAAATTGAATATCGCTAACAATTCATTCTGCATTACAACGTACCATTGTCTTTCTAGGCATCATTTAATCGCTAAAACTACTTCTTGCTAAAATGTTATGCTTATTTGTAAGGACAAATCGCTAAATTTGCGTCTCGCTAAAAAATCCACTTAAACTGTACTTCATCTAATTTTTCATTTATAGAATTATATATCCAGAAGTTTTCCATAACACTGAAATCAAACCAGAACTTTTGAAGGAGAAGCGGTTTCGTTAAGTCGACTCGTGTTCCAGCTCCTACTGAAATCGGTCCAAAATTGTAATAAGCTTTTTGAAAATGTTTACTGACAGACAGACGGACGGCGAAAAATGAAAGATTAATTGTCTTTATATGCAACACAGAACCAACATGTTTGAGAGAGAGAGAGAGAGAGAGAGAGAGAGAGAGAGAGAGGTTACCCTGGAATGTTAGGACGTAACATCAGACTTGGTTGGAAGGAATGGACAGTGCCAGGAATATTTTTCACTACTGAGCACAGAATCTTTGAGTACCTTGTCTGCTTAATTGTTTCTAATTCAGCTGAAAGTAACAAACAAATACCAATTAGCCATTAAAATTACTAAAATAAAACAAGAGGCTCATTGGCCACAACAATCACCTGAGTCACTGTGTACAATTCTTTATCAGAAGAATTTTTGCTCAATATTCCTTTGTAATACTTAAGTCGCCTACCGTGGCCCTTCTCTACCTTACCCGTAACTCGTAATAATAAAATTAAAAACTTGTACATTACCTGAGGATGGTATGTTTATATATTATATATACTGATCATGCCTTTGTCATTCTTGAAAAGATTTTGAAAGATTTTTTTCCTATATCTATATTCCTATAAAAAAAAATATGGTCACCTATTGTGGCTCCAACTTACCCCCAGGGATCATGATTTCAAAAAATTTGAATCTACACTACCTAAGGATGCTTTCATATCAATATGACTATCCATCCCTTTGCTGTTCTAGATAAGAAGATTGTATAGACATTCCCCCCCCCTATATTTTCCTATGTTAAACTTGAATCGCCACATGTGGCCTACACTATCCTTAGGGTCATAATTTGAACAAATTTGAAACTACATTATGTGAAGCTTTCATATAAATTTCAACTCTTCTGGCCCAGCTGTTCCTAAGAAGAAGATTTATTTATTTTTTCAATACATTCCCTATTTAAAACTTCAATTGCCCACTGTGGCCAAATTCTACCCCAGAGGGTCTTGATTTGAACAAATTTGATATTACACCACCTGAAACTTATTCTATATCAATATAACTTTGATGCCTTTGCTGTTTTAGAAAAAGATTAATAAAAAGGTATTTTTTCCTTTATACTCCTATGTAAAACTTTAATCGCCCATTGGGTCTCCACCTTATCCACTGGGGTTATGATTTCAACAAACTTGAATCTCGACTACCTGAGAATGCTTCCATATCAGAATGACTAATTATGCCTTTTCTATTCTAGAAAAAAGATTTTGTAAAAATAGTCCCCATGTTAATCTTTAATCGCCCATTGTGGCCTTACTCTTATACATCCAGAGATCATGATGTGAACAAATTTATGTCTACATTATGTAATAAAGCTCTCACTTAAATCACATTTCTTCTGGTCCAATGGGTCTTGAGATTTTTAAAGACATTTTCCTTTATATTCCTATGTAGTCCTATTTTGATCGGCCATTGTGGTCCCACCCCACCACCGGTGGGTCATAATTTGTTCAAACCTGAATCTACACTATGTAATGAAGCTTTCATATAATATCCAACTCTTCTGGTCTAGTGGTTCTTGATAAGATTTTTTCATATATATTCCTTTGAAAAACTTTGTTCACTTATTGTGGCCCCATCCTACCTCCGGGGGCCATGATTTGAACAAACTTGAATAGCGCATAGGTTTAAATTTTTTGGCCTAAGGCTAAACTGTGCTCAAAATGAAATGAAAATATAACAATTTATATAGACAAAGAAGTCAAGCATCAATTTTTTTTTTTTGAGACTGGTTCATATTTATCTAGAACAATTAAACACCTGTTATATGTAACTTAATGTGTTTTTCAAACTTGAATGCAAATAAAATATGCCTCCCTTTCAGAAAATTTTACTATAACCTGAATTCGGCGTACCATTTTTTTTACTTTCAAACCAACAAGCAGCTTGGTAACTGTATTGACTTACTGATCTTAAATATGATAATTTGTTTCAACAATGCAAAATACGAAAATTACCTTGCGTAAAAGCGGCCAGTGGATTTTCTTGGAAAGTGCGCTCATACCAGAAACGGTCACCATGTTTGTATAGACTGAACTGGAAGGCTATTAGACATTGGAAGGTAGGTCCTAGAATGCTTCCTGGTCGAGGAGTCTCAGATATCCCACCGGCAAAGAGGTCAATATCATCAGGGTGACTGGTGAAAAGAGGAAAAAAACTTTTTAATACAAGCAATTTTTGAAAATGACCTAATTCTTGATGTAATCTTATTCTCAATGGCTCCTCTATAAAAAGTTTATACTTATCAATAAAGCGTATACCTCTAGACAATAATAAAAATACTTTTGAAAAGAAAATGTGTTGGAATTTTGCTCCACAAATAAAATTGTTGTCGTCGTTAACTTTTTACAATTTCATCTTCTTCAAAACCAATCGGCCAATATCTACCAAACTTAGCACAAAGTATTCATGGTTGAAGGGGATTCAAGTTTTCCCTACATAAATGAAGGACCACACCTGCTTCCAAGGAGATAATTAAGTAAAAGTGAACATTTTGTGGGGTTATTTAAAAGTCAATCTTCTTCTCAAGGACCACCGGATCATAAAAGATGAAATTTATCTGAAAGCTTTCTGACAGAGTATAGATTCAAGTCTGTTCAAATTATGACACTCGGGGTATTTTATATGGTGGGATATGTAGGGAAAATCTTTAAAACATTCTTCTCGAGAACCATTGGGCCAAAAAGGTTGAAACTTATGTGAAAGCTTCATTAGGAAGTGTAGATTCAAGTTTTTTTTAATTATGACACCAGGAGGAAGCGTGGGGCAACACTGGAAGATCAAAGTTTACACAGGAATAAATGGGAAAATCTTTTCCCCAAGAACAACAGGGTTGATGAGTCTTATTTTAATAGACGCATTCACAGGTATTGTACATTCAAGTTTTTTTTTTTAAATCATGATCCCCCGGGGATAGAGTGGAGCCAAAATGGGTAATCAAAGTTTTTATAGTAGGAATACATTGGGAAAAAAAATTAAATATCTTCTGCTCAAGAACAGCAAAGCCATGATTAGTTATATGTATTGAGAAGCATGTATAAAAATATTCATCTCAAGAACAGCAAAACCAGTATTAGTCATATACATAAACATAAATAAATCAATAAACGTGTAGCAGTGGACGCGTGGTTGCTTATATCTATGCTGCAGTGCACTTGATCCTTATTTCAGAACATAGTATCCCCCGTCTGTAAACCTTATACAGTTGAAATGGTTATCCTCTTCGTCGTATCAGAATTATTTTTTAGCAATTCAAATCAGTTGTTTATAACTTTGCTATTTTCGAAAGAGTTTTAAATGGATTCCACGAGGGGTTGTCCAAACCTTAGAAAAATAAATATTGCATGCATTTGATGACAATTGCACAAAATGTATTTCTTGTTCTTACATAAATTGCCAGATGCCATCTAGCTTTTGTATGAATTTTTTCACAGTGAAACTTTATAATAGAAAATCTGATACGCTTTCTTACCATTTCCTTCAGTATGATATAAAAAGATAAGAAATAGTAATCAAGCTTAAAAGTCCATTGACACAATACAAATTGTGCAGACTAAAGCAAGATCTCTAAAACATCGGGGGAGGGGATCAGGTACCATGGAGGAGTAAGCATAAATCAAATATGTTGTGTATCAAAAAGAAAGTCGGGATTGTAAAAGAAATAGGTGAAGATATTGAACATTGATAGACCTCAAGAACCTACAAATTTACCTATAAGTTCGCTGAAGTGCAGATGCTGCCTGTGGAGTATGATCTACCAGTCCCCCAGGGACAGCAGCAAACAAAACTGCTCTTCGAAGTCCACAGAATTCTCTGTACGCGTTGTAGGAGGGTATACCGTGATCTCGGCCTCTTTGTACGTTCAAAGCTCCCAGATCAAAAGATAATGTTTCTGATGGGTGCATACCAGGAACAGGTGGAAATTCAAACAATCTATTTCTGATTCCATCAACTAGAAATCTGTCAGACCTAGACTTTGGTTCCCGTGACATCCAACGAGCCATAAATTCATATCCGTTATTAAACATTAGATCAGGGCGTTCAAAATGTTGGCTTACAGGGAATGTCTGGACATTTCCTAATCCCCTATCGTGACCTACGGTATTTCTCACCAAACTGTGACCCATACGATAGGCTGCTACACCGAATGCATTTATTGTTCTTGGATCAATTTGAGGGCTGTAAACATTAGCATGTCCGAATGGTCTTGATCTTAGATTGAAAGCAATCATATGGAAATTATCAAGGACGGCGGGTAGAAATTCGTTGTATGTTACATGTTGAAGCTCTGCTATTAATATCCTCTTTGCTTCCTGGAAAAGAGTCTCGTCATGCGTGATGCCCGTGGCTTGTCTTAATGCGTCAGCAATGAGATTATGACGTCTCAACCACGTGATGTGCGGAATAGTTAGAGTTGGTGTCTCGCTGGGTCTGTGGTCTCCTATCAAAAAATGAAAAATTGTTTTAGTGTTTAAATTGGTTTAGTTTAGATGCAGATAGAGGTAATGACTGTCAAAAAGATAAATTGTACTTAAAACAAATGGCAAGGATAAAAGAAGATATTTCTTTGGTGCAAAATTCAATTTCTAAAATGAATTTGGGGACTGGATAGTGTTGAGAATACGAGCACATAAGCCAAAATATAAAGATTAGCAAATAAAAAAAATTCTGTATTTTTGTTTTCACACCAATACACTTAATTTTGACAAAACACTAAATGTTGAAGGAAATTTGCCTCATTGCACGAAACATCATATTATCTTTTACTCCTGAATTAAATTGTAAATTTTTGACATTCATTTTATCAGGACACTGAGGGCTTTCTGACAAATAGAATAAAGCGAGACAGCTTGAAATGAGAATTTGACTATACAGTTGTCCGTTTAATGACATGATGAACGCAAAACATGATGATAAATCTATTAACCTTTTGATCACCCCTATGTTACAGTATCCAAAATAAAAATGTGTTAAATCAAATAAAAAATTCAGAAGGTTCCAATATACTTTATAAGGCAAAAAAACCACATATTGAATACATGTGTACACATATTTCTTATGAACTAATGATGTGTCAACTTTTCTTTAAAAGTGTGATCAGGTATGAATCTTAAAACATGGAGGGAAGATAACCTTTTTCCTGTTTAATGTGTTCATAACCTTCAAATTACCATTCGGTTGATATAAAAAAAATATTTTCGTTCTTACTTTTAGAAAGATATAGTTCTCAAGAGGCAAAATAAAAAGAGTCAGACAAAAACGACTGTTATGCGTAATGCCTCTCCAGAACCTATTGAAGAAATATTTCAACAATGTCATTTGTTATCTCCAAAATGTAAATCTGGTAATTAACTTTTAGATTATGAGAATGATAAGCACTTAGGAGTGTAGTCTTAAGTTCATTACCAAATACAGGGTTTGATGACATTTATCACTTTTAACCGAGGATGTATCTCAGTGCTATCTTTCAAATGTAAGAATATATTAAATGATTAAACACTGGATTTTAAGAGTAAAAGATTGATGCCTCAACTAAATGTATTTATAGAACAGTATATCCTTTCTCTAATATCAATTAAAGGTCGTTTATCTTGTCCTTGATGAGATGGCTTGCGAGGATACTTGTCTTCCTTTGTTTATAACGATCAGGAAAAATAAAACACTTTTTATCATTGTGGAAGAGGGATGGGGATGGGAGTTTTAGACCTAGTTAAGTTGTAAAGGGCAGTATCTAGCATAGAGAAATAATCTATTTAGTTAAAACCATTATTGTATCCAAAAAAAAAAAAAAATATAGAAGTGAATTACGTTTTGGTCCAAAACTTGTCTTTAACAACTTGAACTAATTCTTGGTTACATGCATGTACGATAAAACTTGTCTAATCTCCAGATGTTGTATAATCCGAAATCCTGTCTAATACGGTGTAAAATTTAAGTCCTTTGCAGTAAATTTAATTGTTTTATATATTATCTATTACGGAATGTTGTCTCATCCGGCCAATTTCTTTGAAACCACTGGTGTCCGGATAAGATAAGTTTTACTGTATTTACTCTCAATCCATCTTCAGTACTATTACAATTATTCAATGTAATTTCAATATACTTTATTGATTCCAAATAATTAACCCATGTATGTTCTTACTTTTACTAAGTACAATATTTTGACTTTTAATCCAGTACAATCACCAGCTATATTCTGTAACTTTCGTCATCGTCGTTTTCCCCCTGATCCCTGATTGTTTTTTTTTTTTAATTTATAAAACTTAAATTACCAGCTTCATCTTTTAAGAACTTTGTATTTCTTAGATTATCTCTTGAATTATGTTGATAAGTAACTGCTTTAGGCTAAAGTTACCTGGTCAGCTGTTCGAGTTATAACAAGAACTGATTTCCTGTAATGTGTCTGCATGCATGCATTACATAATAAACAATGGAACAAGTTTGGGGTATTCACAATTATGTATAGTATATCTGGGGGAAAATGAATTTTATGCCACTTTTGAAAAAAAAATCGCCATTGGCGAATTAAAGCTATCTATAACCTGAAAATATTTTTAAAGGCGTGAATTAGATTTGTTATAAATTAAACAATGTATATAATACCTATGTCCATAAATCCTTATTTGTTTAACAGAGTCTTTGATACAAGAGAAAATAACACAAATGCTAATCAGATTTATTTATAATATTAAACGAAAAAGATGAAATTCTTAGAAAAAAAGAGAAATTTGTAAAAATTAAAACCCAGAGGAAAAATAAAAACAGTATAGATACGTTATATATAAATGTAAATCAATGAATGGAATATAAAAAATGATTACCTGCTATAAAACAGTGAAAATTAGTCATGATTTCTGCTGGACATCCTTCTGGGTGAGGCGGAAGAAGATTCTGAAAGTTTTCTGCCAGCCTTCCATAAACTTAAAAGAAAAATATCAGCCTATCATTTATAAACAAAAAAAATGAAGGTAAAAAAACAGACAATTCTTTAATCAAATCAAATTTTTAAAATGGCAAAAATCAGAGACTCTGAAAACACCAATGGTGAAATCAGGTGAGAAACCAAGGAGGAGGAAGCATCCCCTGTCGACCTGACACACCCATCCCATTTTGATCAGGTAAGTGGATTATTCCATGCGTTAAATTAGTATCAAAACAAAAGCCTTACAGTGAATGTGAAGTCAGTCAGTCGAAATGCGACTCAAAGATATTTTTTTTTTTTGTTTTTTTGTTTTGTTTTTTGTTTTTGCAAATGAGGTCATTTTAACGACCACAGAATTTGCAAAATGCTGAATTTCAAGAAGATTGTTGAGAACTTATCAATATCAGATTGTATTCAGTATTTTGTGTTTTACCTCCTGATCTCAAGTCTCGCTCAAGATTGATGTCAGATCCATAAACCATAGAACCATCGACGAAAGCTGTTCTCTGATTTATTTGTTGGCGGACACCTAAATATATTTTTAGAAAATGAATATCAGATCTTTATAACAAAATGAAATTGACATAAGAACCTCTCACATTTATATTCACAAAAGGAATGCAATGTGCTACATTCCTTATTCTTAAATAAAGTAATTTCTTAAATAGAAGAATGGATATATATACATATATATATATATATATATATATATATATATATATATATATATATATATATATATATATATATATATATATATATATATATATATATATGTACGTTACTAAGAAATAGTTGAAGATATATAAGGCCCAAGGGCCTAAGGCTAAAGCAATCTTGCTCCTCCTGTTCTTCAAAGGATTGTTTTAAAAAGTTTTAAAAGCTTTTATCCTCGATATACCCCCAGAAACCACTTGACTCCAAAGGTGTCATGGCAAAACAAATCCTGGATCCACAATACATTGGGATTCTTTTTTTTTCTTTTAGAAAAGGATTTTGTGACTTGTTCTTGTATATTTTAAATGCATATTTCAATCCTTATGGTATAGTGGCCCAATCTAAAGCAAATTTGTACTTTAAATAACACTTATTCTACATTATATTTGAAATGTTACATAAAAATATAAATAAAATATTGACCCTTCTAATCTTTAAAGGATTTTAACAGATTTGTCCTTTATTTTTTTTATATATAAAACTTTGATTTCTGTTTGGCCCCCACGATACCCTAACAAAAAAATACTATAGTAAACTATAGTTAACTATAGTTTACTATAGTTAACTATAGTACCAAAGTAAAAACTTTGGAACTTTGATATACTATAGTAAAAACTTTGGAATTTTGATTTACTGTAGTGAAAACTTTGGAACTTTGATTTACTTTACTAAAAACTTTGGAACTTTGATTTACTATAGTGAAAACTTTGGAACTTTGAATTACTATAGTTAAAACTTTGATTAAGTACGATAAATCCCGTGGAATTATGTTTTTGATTCCCATTCTTTACATTTTATGATATTTCAAGTTTAAGATTCATAAAAGCTTTAGAGAACATTTTAAAAACCCGACCCCTCCCCTAAAAGAATAATGTACAAGATATGAATTTTAATGTAAAGGTTGTCGCTTGGGCCTATAAAAGAACAATATTTATTTCAATATATCTAATTTTAATGTTATGCAGATGTAACGTAAGTATTTTTTTTTTTGAAAAAAAAATAATATATCATAAAAAAAATGTCATTTAGAATCAAAATATCTGCTTCATCAACTTCAGTCAACGTGTATTTTTTTAAATTTATAAATGTAAATATTGCATTTGAATTAACTACTTTGTATATTTAAATAAAGATGTACAACAAAAACCAACCCCAACCAACCCCATATCCACCCCCTCAACTAAAACGGCTAAATAATCAAAAAAAATATAAAAATACAAAAGTTGTTAAACTAATAAAAAACTTTGAAATTTTGATTAAGTATAGGGAAAACTTTGAAACTTTAATTAACTATAGCAAAAACTATGGAACTTTGATTTACCATAGTGAAAACTTTGGAACTTTGATTTACTATAGTAAAAACTTTGGAACTTTGATTTACTATAGTCAAAACTTTGGAACTTTGATTTACTATAGTCAAAACTTTGGAACTTTGAATTACTATATTGAAAACTTTGGAACTTTGATTTACTATAGTAAAAACTTTGGAACTTTGATTTACTATAGTAAAAACTTTGGAACTTTGATTTACTATAGTGAAAACTTTGGAACTTTGATTTACTATAGTTAACTATAGTAAACTATAGTTAACTATAGTTTACTATAGTATTTTTTTGTTAGGGTATCCCTAAGGGCCCTAAGGACCTCACTCGAACTTGAATCTGCATTAATTGAGGATGATTTGACTAATCATGGTCTAACTGTTTTTTAAAGATTATTAAAAATTTATTCTGTATACATATACTACTGAATTCCAATGTATTTTTCAATTCCCCATTATGGCCAAAACCCTCATTTAGGGGCAATGATTTTAAAAAATCGAATCTACATTACGTGAGGATACTTGCATATTTATTGTACTAATTACGACATGGCTGTTTTTAAAAAATAAATTTACGCTATATGTTTCCATGTAAAACTTGGATCTCCTATTGTGGTCCCCCTTTACCCCTGGGGACCATGATTTACACTTTCTCAGAACGTGTTCACATTAGTATCATTTTCTCTGGGTCCAGGGATCTTGAGAAGATTTTTTTAATGAACACAGTCTGAATTTGCCTTTCATTGATTATCTCCCCTCAGAAAGAGGTATTTGAATATATTCAAACCCCTTAGCAGAAAAATATTTTTAATCAAGTTTTTGACAATAGACGAAATGACAAAGTGAAAGAAGATCGACAACAGCTGTTCAGAAAAGCTCACCTGAACCTTCATTTCAGGTGACCTTAAAAGAGGGAAAGATAACTGAAGAAAAGCTAAATACCGTTTTCACATCTTAAGGGAGGAGCACCTGCATGACGAACGAAGTTCATACAGTATCGATCAGGCGGGAAGAATGGGTCTGGTTGAGGAACAAATATGTTAAAGCAGGCATCTGGCTTCTCACTATTAAGAAAAATAAGTAGCCATACTTGTATAGTAACAAAATTCGCAAAACAATTCAGAAAATACTTTTTTCTAAAAAACAAAAGGCATTGTAGAGTTACCTGTTGTAGAACTTTTACAGCAAAAAATAATGATAAAGTCATCCTGATTTTTACACAAGAATATAATATCAAAAATAAAATAAAATTGTTTCGCATGGCAGATATTTTAAGCAGAGATAAAATAAGTGGTAAAATGTAAGGATAACTTCCCATCTTAAAACCTATTTTTTCTCATCTCGAACAGCATGTTATCAATACATGTATAACACGTCTATAACCATGATAAAGAATACCCAAAATAATAGGCAAGAGGCGATAACCAATGTCATTACTTACAAACCAAATTCAGATTACAGAAGAATTTTAAAAAAATGATCATGCACTAAGAATGCAAGAAATATATCCAGAATAAAAATATGATATAACAATATATATCTAATTGGTTAAGGGACGTGTATGTATGTATGCTTACTTCACCGGAAAACAACAGTCTAAAATAGCCCGGGGATTATCCACAGTTCCAACTGTAAATAAAAATAAATAAACTGAATCTTTTTTAATTGAAAATAAATTTAATGATATGAGTTATTGAAAATTAATTCGTTAAACATGTTTGCTTTACGTTGTTCGGAGGGCGTGGCGATAACGTCATGATCAATGAACTGTCCGTGGTGAGTGAGGTAGGTGGAGAAAGTGGCACTGACGGGGGTCATGCCCCCTCCCAGATACTGAAAGACATTGTTACTGACTGTTCGAGCACTAGGAAGGCGTCCACCAGTGACAGAGCGGGTCCTAGGGGTGTCGATGACTGATAAAATAATTTATGATTAAATCTACTTAAAACATTTGAATTTTTATTGTTTTATCTTTTATTTTCAATTTTTACTGAATGAATTAAAATTTTGTCAAAATATTTTACCAATGTCTTAAAGTCCAGTACTTACAGTCGTCATACGCTGCAGGTAGAACACGCTGTTGGGGCGTGAGTGCGGATCCCAGCAGAGGTTCAAACAAATTATTACATTGTCCGTCTGTTCTTCTGTAAGGATCACTTACATCACATGCCGGCATCTCATAGCAAAACCGATCAAATGCTCGTTGAAAGCTTGCTGCGATTTCTTGATCTTGGGCAGCTCGCTGTAGTGCCACTCCCATATCCCCCTGAGTCCCTCCCATGCCACCCTGAAAAGCTGCTCCGGTACCTCCAGCTAAACTGTTAATTAACAAGGAATCAATATTATCAGCTAAACTTTTAATTAACAAGGAATCAATATTATTAGTATTTTTGTGCAAACTTCTAACTGTAACTACATGTCTTGATATTCAGGGTACTTTTGTTTATATGTTTATATAGTCGAACGGCTTCATGTAAAATGAATTGCCACAGTCGTGATGTCAATGCGAAAGTGCAAACATAGATGTAAAAAATAAAATTATGCAATTTCTTTTTAAGATAGTAGAACTTGCTTGAGGTTATTATTGTGGAGGCTTAAGAAATCACAAAATGTATTGGTTTGTTGTTTAGCACGGTATCTTATTTGAAACTATTGTGTGATTATAAATTTTGCAAGGCTTTACTTATCACAAAAATTGCAAAAGTTTTTAACCATGCAAAGATTTCGAAATTAACAGTATTGATTTTTACATGCCTTATAGTAACTTATATTTTGGTTAATTAAGAAAATAGCGGAAAATTCTGCAGTAAATTTATTCCTCTTGCTCTACTATGAATCACACTCGTGCATTTTGAAATAAGTTGAAATAAATGCAATGCTTTCATTTAACTAATGAATTTCAAATTTTCGAAACATGAATTTTTAGAACTAGATTGTAACAATTACCATTTATTTTGATTTTGCAAATTTTAAAATTGAGTTTTATCATGGCTAATTTGAGTCAATTTTTCTACAAATGTTTTTCGGCAGGTACCGACTATTTTAACTTGGAAATGCCAGTATATTATTAACAAAAACCGATAGTCCCCTCCTGTTTCACCGGTAGGGGACTAATAAAATGGCATTTAGTGATATATTTGCCTTCAATGAACATGAATTCACGTGAACTTTTATTTCTTTCCTACTTATCCCAAAAAGCAAAAGCATTTACTGCCATCCAAGTCATCATCACTGTAAACAACGTTACTCAAATTGGCGAACATATTTACTCGGCTTCAGAAAAGCTTTCACAACCTGTTTAGTTATTATATGCTATATATAATATCTACTACCACAAGTAAAGGAGAACTGCAACATTTCGAATATTTTTTGGAAAGAGGGCAGACTAAATATTTTTTATGAGTCCTTCTTGAAAAAAGCAGCTTAGAAGAAAAGAAAGGAAAATGTGATTGATTGATTGATTGTATGTTGTTTCCATTCCAGGATTTTTCACTCATATAGAGAAATTCAAATTTAGACCTATACTCGGTACTCGAAAATGTAAAAACAAAGCCAATATATTTATGATGAAGAATTCTTAGAAGTAAAGATGACAATTGAGTAGAATTACAAAACCATTGCAAGACGTGGATGCAATGAAACCTCTTGAATGTAGAAAATACGATCTCTTATAGAAAACCCTATAGCCTTCCCTAACTAAGATTACAAGATTAATTTTTTTTTGCTATTGAAATGCAGCTTTTCTCTTTTGCCATCATACTCACATAATTGAATTTCTAGAAAAAAAAATCCTACATCAAAGATAAGAGACTCGTTATGTCAGTACTTTCAGATCTTTTTATTTCGTTTTACGTTGCTGGACTAAAGTTCTTAGTCTTCGTGTAAAGTTGATCACAACCATCTGTTGAGCATCTTTGAGAGAAGAAACCTATAAATTGAGGGTATGACACACACTTTCTTTATCTTATTATGTATTAACAGACACTAGTGAAAATATGCCAGATTTTATGAAGGGAATATTTTTTTGCCTTATATAAAAAAAAATCTTGCAAATTGACAAAACCTTTGATTTCTAGATATGTGAGTGCAAAAATCAATTACGTTTCTTGCTTCCTTCAGTCATAAATGTAGTTCTCTGTGTCCACAGGAAATAGATTTTTTTGTACCGAGGACATATTCTTACTTATGATAGGTAATGACAAGGAAAATGCCTTGTTAGAAAGGCTGAATGCACATACATGTGTATTAACCAAATTCTAAAAGCTAAAACAAACATATGTATTCTTCCTATTCTTCTTGGTGTTAATAATGAACAAACCAACTGCCTTTACACATAGTAAATAAAACGATATAGGAGACTTCACTGTTAAAGCCAGAATATCAGTCCGGATAAGACATTTATGTCACAAAAGAAGGAGAAAACAATGAAAAGAAGAGGGACATTTAAAACAAAGTGAAAGAAGAGATGAGGCGATTATAACGTCTTAAAAACTGTTTCTGTGAATTATGGAAAATTCAGTGAACGCAAACTGAAAATAAAGGTCACTCGGAAAACAGCAAAAATCATTGCCCTCAAAACCAGCGATGAAGAAAATAGGTACACAATTAAAAAAAAAAGAACTTTTTTAACAGGAATTCAAAAATTGACAGAAAAAAAAAAAGTTCCAACTTGCAAGGAACCCAGTGGCTTATCTATAAAATGTTCTTATATTTGTTTACTTACCTGTAAAAAATATTCGTCTTCAGACAATTAATTACTTGTATGTTATAATGAATTTTAAAGTTAGAAAATGGCTTTAAATTATACTATTTTTGTAACAAATATTTCACATTTTTTTCTAGCAGCCTATTTTTAGAAGAAAAAAAGTTGAACCTCAGTCCAACATTAATATTTTCTGATTTCACATTTTGTGTTCATTAAATTGATGTATATTGCGGTTACATCAGTTTTATTAATCCCGTTATTGCTGCACGAACTTTAAATTTCACCGCTGACAGAAAAGAACAAAATATTCTGTCTAAAATTAACACATCAACAAAACTGTATATTTTCCTCAAAACACCAAAAGTTGATCACCCAGATAAATAATGAAACCAACGTAATACAAATGTAAATTGTTAATGCTTACAAAAACTTCATAAATATAATTAGAAAAAGATAATTACAGAGAATTTTGATTTGAGACTCGATGGGTGAAATAATTAAACAATAAAATGTTCTCTTTGTTTGTCTATACATCGATTAATAATCGCACTACTCCAGAAAATGGACTTTATAAAGCTTATATTTATATCCGTCTTAGCATAAGTGAAAGTATCATATAATCGATCCGTACTTAAAAATGCTGGAAGAGCCAATTGCACAATTCCGCTGATCTTTCACACTCCATACAATATCTCTCAAACGAGAGGGTTCAAAAAACGAATTCAATCAGTTAAGAGTAAGTTTGTTTATTGCTTCAGATAAACTTTCATTTCAAAAGAAATAACGGAGATAAGAATCCGACAAATATCCTTTTCTGATTACAGGTCTTAACATGTAACATCTCAGATGAGGTTATACTGTTATACTCTTAATCGTGATTCTAATTGCAAAGCATGAAATGTGCACTGAATTACTATCTACATGTAACTATAATTTTCAAAGTGTTCTCCTTGCTCTTAAACAATAGGAACGTATTTAATTTTGACAAAAGCTAAAAACAATTATGACCATGAAATGCCAATCCTTTTGTCTTTGTGTGAAAACTGTCAATATTTTTTCATATCTTTTATAATACATGTACAAACCTTTGTGCAATCCTTCTTGAGGCAAACGAAGCCCTTGTTGATCGATCACTCAGGAGGGCATTTGTAGCCGGGGAATTACTTTGGGAGAACCTGGAAAGTGCCCGGGCAGCACCCGAGCCCCTTCCTCCCACTGGTCTAGGGGCCCTGCCGTCAGCAGTTCGACCTTAAAAATAAGTTTTTCGCAGTATGTTAGGAATGAAAATTTAAGGAAAGAAAGTACTATAATTTAATCAGAGCTGGACTTTTATCATATGTCCATTTACATAATATTTTAAGGTAATACACTTTATCCATCTTTTGATTGTTGTGAAATTCTCTTTTGTAATTGAGTAATATTGAAGGTAATTAATATATTTATAAATTTTAATTTCTTTTCTTTGTATATTCAGTTTATTGTTATACACATGGTTTAATTAACTTATTAAATTGTAGTGTTATTGACACTAAAGCGTTCCTTTGAATATTTCCAGTAGGCACATATTTAAGGCAGAAAATGTCAGCTAACGACAAAACTTTTCAATTACAAAGTCAGTTGTTAATCATCCTCCTTTATATGTCAGAGGTCGGACAACCATTTCATGTTTAACTTTAACGAGACCGAGTCTAATTCGAGTGCGCATGACTTTTCGCAGGTTTTTAGTTTCATGCAATCGTAGGTCCATCATTACACTCTCTAAATATTGTAATTTTAATACAAAATTAATATTATATTATATTGTCTGAAACGAACGTATATGGGTCTTAAAATGAGCTTTTAATTAAGACAATAATTAGGAATAAACGCTGAAATTGCTTTCACGACGTAACCGTTTTCCGGTTCTGTAAGCAATGCATGACGCTGAAGAAACGCATGACTCGCTTGAGTATTCAAGACGTCCATGGACATTTTATGAAAAACTGTTGACAGAACATCAAAAGAAATATAACAGCAATCTAAACATTGTTATTTTTACCAAAATAATTCATCTGTGCTGATACATGTATATACAAATTGTTTAATTTAGAGGTAATTGGCATTTGGAAAATTTTTTGTAATAATTCCTGGACCAATCCAGATAGTCAACTTTTTTGAAATTTCACAATGTGTGACTTTTTACAAAAACGTTCATGAATTCGACTGAAAAGGAAATCCCAAGGGCAGAAATACAAAAAAATATGGGGAAAATGTGATAATATGGCGCTTTTCCAACAAATTCTCGCATAGGGTCCAATAGTAAAATTTGACAACTTTTGAAATTGCCCCCTAAGAAATCGGGATGACAAAGGTTCGATTATTTTATCTTAAAATAATTAATATAATTGTAAAAACTCATTCAAGAAAATTTATTAAAATATCTAGGGTGAAATATATGAAGATAACGAACAGTATTCAGAAGTTCATTCAAAAAAATACAGATCAGTAGCAGAGCAGACACGACACGAACCAAAAGCATCAGAGGTGGGATCAGGTGCCATGGAGAATTGAGCATCCCCTGCAGACCTGTCACACCCGCCGTGTTCTCATTGTCATGATCGGTAAATAACGGGAAAATCCGTCGACAATTCAGTGTGTAAACAATGCCTAACAATTAGTATGAAAAACGTCAGTCAGCATTTGACTTAGCGGTAGATTGTATTTGCTAACAAGGTAGAACTTACAAAACGATGACTTTAAACGAGTCGATTGATATCTTGTGTCATCAACTTGTGAAATAATTAGACTCAGCCTCGTTGATCATTTCCATAGTATTTCACAGAATTGTCAAAGTGAGTTAACAGAAAGTACATTGTATTTAATTCTACGTATACTGATGAAATCTCCATTCGTTCAGATAATCTTTGGTATTTCTCTTACGTTATTTTGACTTTACCGTATAAGATTTACACTTATCAGATTTAAATTTGCTGATGATTAATTATTTATTTGCTAAGCATGCCGTGCACATTTTGTACAACAGCATTATTCAAAAACCACAATCTTTACTGCAGGTTTGAAGTCAAAGCAGGATGTAAACTTAATCACTAAGAAAGAAATAATAATAAGGTACTTTTTTTCATAAATCATATTTTTATTTTTTAAAATTCTTACTTGCTGGAATTTGTCCTGCTGTTGGAGCAGCCCCTAGAGCTGGGGTGCCCCCTACTGGACCTCCAAAGGCAGCCTGCTGTAGACCAGCCCCGCCTAAACCTCCTGTTCCACCACTAAAGGCAGTCTCTACAGCTTCATTTACTATAGCGTCAATAGATTGACCAGTAACACAGGATATCAAACACGTAAAAAGTAACAGGGAACATGGTGCGTCCATCTCTCTCACCTGTGTATAAAAAAATTACAGAAAATAATGAGGATATTGTATCCTTTCAATTTGTTTCTGTTGTAATATGCAATCACTTTATGATAAACATGATAACCTCAACTTTTCGATCGTCAACTTCCCTTACTTTTGTAGCAACCCAGCTGTACGAAATGCAAGAGCATGTTCTACGTTCGAACAATTTCCAAAACGCAATGGGCTTTTGACAAATAAGTTGATGATACAAGGATAACAACAATCTCGTTTTAAATCAATATTTCGCAAACTCTATGGTCGATACAATGACTTTGTTTGCAATTACGATCTGACGACAGGTATAAGAATGACTGATGTTTTTCAAACAAATTGTCAGTCCATTATTTTTACATTGCATTGTCTACGGATTTTCCGTTTACCCGATCACGACAAAGAGCACAGGGCGGTTGTGACAGGTCGGCAGGAGATGCTTTTTCCTTCATAGGACCTGATTTCACCTCTGTTTTCAGAAGTTCGTGTTTTCTCTGCTCATAAATTGCCTTGTTTAAATGGAAATTTGAGAACGATCACTGTTCGTTATCTTCAAATTTCATCACGGATGTTTCGCACCTATGCATGGTTCGCCCCTCGATGTTTCGCGCCCATTCTGTTTCGCGCTGAGATGGTTCGCCCCATGATGTTTCACTCCAAGTACATAAATGTGCTACTGAGTTTAGTTCATTTAACAAAAATTTTAGATTTTAAATATATGTAAATATAGATATTTTTGGAACATTTTTTTTTAATTTAAGAAGATTATATTTGAAACAGACGTAAATTATTTGTCTGTGTTTGAAGTATACATACATAGCATAATTATGAATTATTATAACACCGTGCTAATTATGTATAAGTAGATAATCATAATACCTCCATTTAATAAGTAATTATTGCTGGCTTATTTGATTAATAATTTAAAACGGATGAAAATGTGATGAAATATTTAAAATAAAACGTGGGATGTTTCGCACCCAAATCGGCGCGAATCATCTTAGCGCGAACCATCTCAGAGCGAAACAGAATCGGCGCGAAACATCCCGGATTCGAGGTGATCAGGAGAAACCTAAAATAGTCTTATCACTTCTCTGGCATGGCAACTCCTTCTCATATTTACTTCAGAATAAAAATTCAATGAATACTTAAGGATACAAAACTCAAATAAAATGATGCACTGATTGATATATATTATTTGAATGATTTTAAATGTAAATGACATAAGTAATAGTCGCCCGTGTGGGCGCAGTGGTTAGAGCGTTTGCTTTAGAGTCGCGGAGTAAGGAGTTGATCCTTACCTCGCGGGTTCGAATCCCACTGTGGGACGTGGAGACCCGGTCTTTCGGATGATAACGTATAAACCGAGGTCCCGTGTTGCAGTAGGTGTTGGCACGAAAAAGATCCCTCACTTGCCGAGTATAGGTCAAAATTTACAGCTCTCCACCGGCAAGAGGTGGCGTCTCCATATGAGTGAAAAATTCTCCAGAGGGACGTTAAACAGTAAACAAACACACAAAAAAACCCATAAGTAATAGATTCCTAAAATATTTTAAAGTGTTCAAAAATGCAATTTTGTGCCATTTTCAATTAACAATAGTAACCTCCATTCATATGTCGACTCGACAAGACAGCATAGAGCCTGTCAAATCTGTTTCATATTAGATGTTTTACTGACTATAAACGGTAAAGACCAACTAACAACTAAATTGCACGACAAAAGAGATAAATTCAGCTTTTCTATCGACAACGTTGCTTATTTATGAAGTTATATTCCGATATCACCTACCGTTCACGGTAGCTCAGTCGGTAGAGCGCTCGCTCCGTGATAGGGAGGTCGTGAGTTCGAATCTCGGCCGCGACAGACCTAAGTCGATAAAAAAATGGGTAGCAACTGTTCCTTTGCCATGCGCTCGACACTTTGAAGTGAAAGTTGCGGGTCCTTCGGATGAGACCTTAAAAACCGAGGCCCCGTGGCATTGGCACGATAAATAGGAGTAAGGAGGAGTAAGTATCCCCTGTCAAGTGGTCACGTCCGCCGTGAGCCTTAGGCATTCATTAAGTAGACGGGTAATACGTAGTCAGATTTAGCGTAAAACAATGGCCTAACAAATCGGTATATAACATGTCAGTCAAAATACGACCCATTTATGGGTTGTATTTGAAAAGAAGGTCATTATAGCAACCCAATTTATATTCAAGAACATACTTTAAATGAGGAATGCTTATGGATTCCACTGGAAGCCGTTATCATACTTTGCAACTCTTTATTATACAATACCAATAAAAAATATATTTTGTTAACATGAGTGGTGGTTTAACTGTCTGCGAATGTTTACAAAAATCAGAAAAATATAAATCATTTTCACTACGTTAAACTAGTTAAACTAGAGCATGACACTTTCCTTTACATTACATCCTCTTAATTTTGCTACCGAAATATTCTTTTATCAACGACGTTTTTCTTCTAGATGTGGTTTGCTCTAGCAGGCAATCTTAATGAATAACCACACTTTAATTTTCAACCTTTTTTCACAAATAATAAATATCAGATTTTATATTTGAATTGCTAAAAACACTTTTTTCCAAATTGAACATATACAGAGTTCCGTGCGTATTGCTCTGTTCTCGATTAGTATTTTTCAGTGGATTTATGAGATTGATCACTGTATGTTATATCTTCACCTTCTACATGTAGTTTTTGTTTCATTTAAAGTCTATTTTGTTTGGTTGAATATTATGTATTATGTTTTAATTTTTTAATGATAAATATTTTATATAACCCCCCCCCCCCCTTTTTAAATGACATTTTCTTGCTATTTTTGAAGATTCGTCTTCCTTATGTTTTAGTTGGAAAACGAAAGAAGCTGCTTTTCTTGTCTTGGAAACTAGTACATGAAATATATGGAGATACAATTCTACCTTGATTGAATGTTTTCTGCAATAAGATACATGTATTTTCTTTGGCTTATGCAAATTGTCAACAAAAAGTACAAGTGTGAGCGCGTTTTATACTGATAGTCCCTGCTAGGATAAGTATGAAAAGTAACGCTATTACCAGTAGGTAAAAACTGAAAATATTATGGTTGTTTTTATTCAAGAGAACGTGCATACTAAACAAGTCCATGGATAAATATGAATTCTGTTGTATTATTCTTTTTCTAGTTTCAAAATCCAAAAAAATATCATTACCTGAGTTTTCTTGAAATCACACCACTGGTCAACAATTGTATATATATATATATATATATATATATATATATATATATATATATATATATATATATATATATATATATATATATATATATATATATATTATTTATTTTGTTGACCTACTGTTCTTGACAAGATTATCGATAGAAAACAAAAAAAATTGATCAGTAAAGCTAACGTTAGGTCAGGTGAGCTTAATAAAAAAGTTCATTTGAATAATTTTTTTCTCTTAAATTAAAACATCTAATATTCGATTGTATCGTCGTCATCAGATTCCAAAATTAAAATTCTGAAAGAATATATCAATATTTTTTTTTTTATTTCAAGGGAATATTTTTTTCACAGTAAGCTAAAGTTTATTTTCATCGTAGTTGATCGGTAAATCTTTGTAATCCATGTAATCCGTACCTCCCAAAAAATTTCATTAAGAGAAGCTTTACTGGAACCTTACCTGACAGAGTTATGATTCCTCACTGACAATATTTCCGGAATTAAGTGAAGTGAAACAATAAGTAGTCATGTGACTTGTTTTCATTAATTAAATCAAGAAAGAACATGATAACATGAAGAGTGTGAACAATTTAACCCCAACGGTGTTCCAGAAAAAAGACCACGATAAAAACTTGGACATAAAAAGGACGTGTTTAACATTACCTTACTAGTTCCAGGAAAGATATTGGGTTTTTTTTATTTATTTTTTAATATTTATATTCAGAAATTGTTTCATGGGCGGATATTTTGCTCTTTCCAATATCTTATTGGCAGTGATAATTAGAATTTTTATGAGACGAATTTCCATTTGATCGATGTGTCACATAACCTTCCAGAAAAAAATCCAAACTTTTAAGTGCGTAATAAGTTCACATCAGTTTTCCACCAGAAGAGGATTTTCCTGATTTTTGTATGTTTTATGATTTTTGAAAAGTGCAGAAAACTGAAATGAATTTTAATAAAGGTTTGTAATCTTTGTCACCTCTAATTCAAGGGCTGAAAAGTAAAAGTAATTTATTTTTCGTAAAAAGAAAAGCAATTTAGAATTTTGAAATATCTGAACTTATTAAGATAACTCACCATTTAAAGTTACTGTATTATTTGAATTCACATTTACTTTTTCCCATTATTAAAAATAATCACGGTGATTTCCTATTAAATAACGGAAATTACATTACTAATTAAGAAAAAAATATTGCCCTAATAAAAACTGTAAACTGTCACAAAACACACGTAATTACAGTACGTTGTATGCGTCGTTCTTTAATGGTGCATTTATATCGTTCTTGTATGACAGAGTTCTGTTTGAAGATGAAATATTTGATTGATAATCCCTGTCTACAAATATCTTATAACATCATTAACATTTGTAAAATAGAAATACCGATAATTTGGCAGTAATACGAATGAAAATAAATCTATTCACATAATATGACATTTATTTGTGGTCTTCCTTCTTAACAAATGATAACAAACGAGATGTATTTTAAAATGTTAATTTCCAAAATTTGAAAAATGAAATTTAAGCACAATGAACTTAAATACATCTTACAGTAGATAAAAATTTTTATCCCCTAAGATCTTTTTTTCGAATGATTAACGACACCTACTCATGCAAAATACTATAGCAGATGAAAAATATATTCCTTATATGTAAACCGAATTACTCCCCAAACTTTTCTCCATGAGCTTATGAAATTGAAATGCATCAATAATTTCTACAAATCATTTTATAATTTTATCTGATATTATTTGTTTCATCCCTTAGTGAACTTTTTGATCATCATGAAACGTATCATGATTTCTAGTATACTTTATATATATTAATAACTTCTATTTTACATGTTTTATTTAACAGATAGAAATTTCTATATCCCATAACACCATTGTGCAGGTAAACGTCTAAAATGACTTAAAGTCTAGTTTCTTTTTGAAACCAAATATACAACTGTTGACCAGTGGTGTGAACAACAAAGATTTAAAAAACAATAATAATTACCGTATTTACCGTGAGTAGAAATTTAGGATCACTCACTAAATACACCTGATTATTTGTAATCAGCTCATCTGCAGCAAAGTTGCCATCTCAATTTTGAATTTTTATTTACAACAGTAATACTGAACAATATGTCCAAACCGCTGAATCTGCTATATATGGCCTGGAATATGCATGTAATATTTGATAATTTCTACAATCAAGTACATTTGAAATGCTACATCCTAACTTTCTAAATAACCTAAAAACCAAGTATACAATCAAAACAAAACATAGAGGAACCAAGGTATTTATGAAGTTTTCTTACTTCATACATTTTCTTACTAGGAAAATTTCATTGAGTTGTGCTTATGCTAATATATGTTTTGTTACATTGCTAGGTGAACCATGATTAGAAGATGAATTTGTCAATCGCACAAATCAGCTGTCAAAATCTGAGCAATAATTGTCTGTTCCTTGATGAAAATAACAGCAATAGAAATTGAAATATTGGAATGAAATATTCTCATTTGGGATTTTCGTTTTGTCATTTGTCTCATTTAAAATTCATTTGAACACGAAATATTAAAAGCAATTAAAAAACAAACAAAAAATAAAACAAAACAAAAAACCGAGAAAACTATACCATCAATCAAATTATTAAACTTCAAAAAGGTGGCAACGATTTTTTTTTTATTCATTGAAGGAGGATGGGATGTTAAATGGGTTACAGGACTATCAAAATTATTATTGTATTAATATACTACTTAGGTCCGGCTTTTCGAAGCCATATGAAAAATGAGTTAAAAGTCGAATGTTTCATGGCTTTTCCGTCTATGTAAAGTAATAGTACGATATTTTACGCACTTTCAACAATTTAAGATGAATAAGTTCACAATAAATAAATTAATTAATTGATTTATTAAAGGAAAATAAACAAAAACGTCTTGCTGCAATGTTGCAACCATCATATCCCGTATAAAACAATAAAGAAGGAACTTTATTGTTTTATTGAAACTTTATTAATATTCAGGTAACTTTGGTCATCCTGTGCCTCTAGGTCGGTACTCATCCTAATACACAAAAAAACCCCATAGAAACTGTCATTATTTACAAATCATTTTTACCTCTCAGTTATTCTTAGCCTTCTTCTGACTCGAACTTGATACAAAAGTGTATATATATATATATATATATATATATATATATATATATATATATATATATATATATATATATATATATATATATATATATATATATATATATATATATATATATATATATATATATTCATGTATATATTATGGAATCTATAGTCCAACATTTTATTACACCTTTCCTCATACTGGCTTTCTATCTCTTCTTCTTCTATTTAATATCCACATGACAACCAAATAAGAAACACAGGAAAGAAAACAGAGGTCACATGTGATGCTATAAGCTTATTAAGTTATGACCAAGGAGTTTACTGGTATGGTAAGTATTTTATGAAATATGCAGATAACGAACAATGTCCAAGCACAAAGTCCATTAAAACAATACAAATCTGGAGCAGAGCAAACAAAGACCTCTGAAACATCAGAGACGGGATCAGGTGCCATGGAGGAATGAGCATCCCTGCTGACCGGTTACATCCGCCGTGTGTTCCTTGTCATAATCGGTAAATAACGGGAAAATCCGTCGACAATTCAGTGTGTAAATAATGGCCTAACAATTAGTATGAAAAACGTCAGTCAGTATATGACTTAATGATAGAATGACAAAACCATTGTATCGACCATAGAACTTACGAAATGATGACTTTAAACGATACTGTTCATAATCTTGTTTCATCAACTTGTTTGTCAATAACTTACCTCGTTTTAAAATTGTTCATATGTAGAGCATGCTCTTGCGTATCAAATCAACTGAAAGATATACACTCTATATGCAGGTGGTAAGGGTATTTTGCTGCATGAGTAAGGGAAGCTGACGATAGAAAAGTTAAAGTCATCACGTATATCATAAAGCTTGGTTGTTATGCCAAGTTCACAGGGAGAGTTTAATTCGAATTAAACGTAAGTTACTGCGAATTAAATTTGAACCGCGTTCACACAGGGATTTTAATGCCAATTAGTTTAATTCGAATTAATTTACTTGCGCATTAAATTACTTCGCATTATCTCCGTGTGAACGCTTGGCGAAGCTAATTCGAATTAAATTTTCGCGCATGTGTAATGGCAAAATTAAGTCACATGTCACATGTCGGTGGTCACCCATAGATACTCATGCTATTTTTTCGTGAAAACAAAGGAAAATTACGTTAATCACTGAAATGTGTACAGACACTATGACATTATGTCAAATATGGATTTGCTGTCGTGTGAACGCAATTTAATTCGCATTATTTTAATTTGCATTATTTTACTTCGCATTTATTTACTGCGAATTAAACTCCCCGTGTGAACAGGGCATTAGATTACCATTGTATTACAATTAACGTAAAAAAAGGCAAATAGAAATACTACAAAATCACCACGTCTGGAAAGGAACGTCATTCAATAAGATAAATAAAAAGTCCAATTTTAGTGCATTTGCATTAATTATCAAGAAATTTTACCTGATTGATGATATTAACCGAACAAGCTTCACTTAATGTGAATGTTCTTCCTAAGCCGAGGAAGATAAACTGGATATTTATTCTGATATAAAAACACCTTTTTTAAAAGTAACAAACGTTTGGTTGTTTTACAAAATCATTCAAGCGATCATTTAACTACCTGAAAGGTATTGCAACATTTATAGTCAGAGATGGGAGTGTTCTGATTGCACATATAATAGATCACAGTATTGATAACAAAGTGCATAATTACGCATATAATTGCAGTCAAGTGATGACAGATAATGAAGCGTACCTAAATCAAAATTTTTAAGGGCGTCATAATGGTAATAAATTATGCGGCTGTACAGTGCAGATACCTTTCCTTGACGAGAATTATTTTCAGGAAACGTCAGGCTAAATAAGATACGTAGGTAGTACTAGCAGATCTCCAGCAACACTAGATGCTTGAGTTTCTGATTGACAATATCCATGTAGTTTTTCGAGATCAGGTCTTCCAACAATCTGTTGGAATTCACATTGGAACATATTGCGCCCCGTTATTTGCAGACCTACCACAGAGTCTGACAGATCTGTTTCACACTTTGATATTTTAATGTACGAAAATACCTTTCAATGGTAACCTAACAAGAAAACTTTATGATAAACGTGATGACTTCAACATTTCGATTGTCAGCATCTCTTCTTATGTAGCAATATTCCCTTATCACCTACATTTATATGGAATTCATGTCTCCCAGTTGATTCGATTCACAAGAGCATGCTCTACTTACGATCAACTTTTAAAACAAGGCAAGCCATTAACCAACAAGTTGATGAAACAAGGATATGAACAGTCCGTTTGAAGTCATCATTTCCAAAGTTCTTTGGTTGATACAATGACCTTGTCAACAAATACAATCTATCATTAGGTCAAATGCTGACTTGCGTTTTTCATACCATATGTGAGCTTTTATTTATACACTGAAATTTCTACAGATTT